CGCACTGGCTTTTCCCACTTTGGTTTGGGACAGGGCCTCATTGTGTAGTCTGCTCTGGACTTAAACTCATGATCCTCCTGCATCAGCCATGTAAATGCTAGGAATATATGTATATATACACACACATGCATATACACACATATACATATATACACACTATATATATAAACATACACTACAGAATGCATATCAGTAGGTGATTTTGGCAACCTCTCTCTCTTCCATCTAGTTTGGGAATTTGCTTATATAACCAAACACAAGGTTCAAGAGCTAGAAAGATATTCAGAGGAAGAATTCAGCATACCCAGGTATGGTTATGGGTGAGAGTTAGCCATACTTTATCTTGTCTTTCTCCCTGCTTCACTATGAGATGATGCAGCCAAGGCAAGGTTCCCTGTCTTGAACCTGTGCCTGATGTTGAGACTTTCCAACCTCCATACCTGGAAGGTAAATAATCCTCTTTTCTTCACATAGCTGATCTTCTCTGTGTGTTCATGACAGTAACAACCATAAAAGGTCGGTAACTCTTACCAGGCAAGTGAAAGATCTGTATGACAAGAACTTCAAATCCCTGAAGAAGGAAATAGAAGAAGACTAAAGAAGATGGAAAGATCTCCCATGCTCGTGGATTGGTAGGATCAACATAGTGAAAATGACCATCTTACCAAAAGCAATATACAGAGTCAATGCAATCCCCATAAACATTCCAACACAATTCTTCATAGACATGGAAAGAGCAGTTCTCAACTTCAGATGGACAAGCAAAAAATCCACAATTCTCAACAATAAAAGATCTTCTAGGGGAGTCACCATCCCTGACTTCAAGCTGTACTACAGAGCAACAGTCATAAACCAGATGGTATTGGTACAGAGACAGGCAGGTCGATCAATGGAATCGAATTGAAGGCCCAGAAATGAACCCACACACCTATGGACACTTGTTCTTTGACAAAGAAGCCAAAACCATACAGTAGAGAAAAAAAAGAAAGCATCTTCAATGAATGGTGGTGGTCTAATTGGCTGTCTGTATGTAGAAGAATGAAAATAAGATCCATATTTATCACCTCGCATAAAGTTTAAGTCCAAGTAACATAATTTTCTTAAAATTACCTATGACTTTCATATTTCATTTGACCTTACCTTTAATGAGAAGTGAAACTGAAAAATATTTTCCTGGTCTATAGAAGAAACTAATATGTCATGCTAGATAAAAGTATAAATCATCTGTTTGTTCTTTTAATCCTGAAGGACATTACTGGATCAGGTGGACCTCAGTGGTACAACACTTGCTTAGCTTGTGCAAGTCTCTGGGTTTGTTCCCCAACACAAAATCGGATGTGAGAAGCAAAGGATGTCAGCTTGGGGATAGAGCTCGGAGACAGGTCATTTGCCTGATAAGTGCAGGGGCTTAGCTTTTAACCCAGCACCACCAAAACCAAGCAAACAAAAAGCAAAGGAAGAGAAGAAGGAACACTTGTTTTAAAAAAGATATTTTAAAATATTATGAATTCACTATAGATTACCCTATTAAACTGCAGAAAAAAATAGAGAGGGTTTTCTGTGTTGGTTAATAATAAATGCTGCTTGTTATTTTCCACAATTAAGTTTGCTTTTCAGTATTAAAAATCATGCAATTTCCTTTGACTTTATTTAAATTCACTTTTATACTCGATTTTCAAGCCTAACTTTGCATTGTTCTTCACGATGAATCCTACTAAATTAAAGACATCCAGACCTGAGAGGACATTGCTCTTTGCTTATTATGGCAGAGAATTACCAATTTTGTTTCAAGTGCTATTTTAAAATTTAGAGAGATTTTATTTTTAGTTGGCTTTATGCGTGTATGTATTAGGGTAGGAATGTCTATCCATAGGAGCCCAGTGCCTACGGGAGCTAGAGGCTTCAGGTCTCATTGGATCGGTAGTTACAGGCAGCTTTGAGCCATAATATGGGTGCAAGAATCAAACTCAGATCTTCTTAAAAGAACAGCACAGTGCCTTAACTGTTGAGCCAAATCTCCAACCTGAGGTCATTTAAATTATTGATGTCATTGGAATCCATCACTTTGCAATTTAACTGAAGAAAAAAAAATCATCTATATACCAGTGACCTAAGATAGATTTGTAAAATTTGAGTTCCAAAATTTGAAAGCTGTGTGGCTGCCTCAAAATACCTTTCCAGTTGAGTAATCCTAAAGTCGGGTGTCAGTACTTTAAATCTCATGAGATGTTTTAACGGAGCTTTTGTCCTGAGCCTGTGTTCGTTTTTAGTGTATATGTGTATTCTTGTGGTGTGTGTGTGTGTGTGTGTGTGTGTGTGTGTGTGTGTGTGTGTGTGTGCAGGTACACAGGCTGGTGTCCCTACATGTGGAGACTGAAGGAAGATATCAGGTATCCTGCTCTATCATCTTTGTCTTACCCCCTTGGAACAGGGTCACATAATCTAGAGCTAGACTGGTGACCAACAAGCCCCAGCGATCCTGTCTGTCTCAGCCCCCAGTGTTGGGATTACACGAGGGCATCCCCATGTCCAAATTTGCATGTGTGTGCTGGGAACCTGAACTCAGGTCTTCACGCATATATCATAAGCAACATGAGCCATGTTCCCAGGATTGCCCATATTTTCTTAAAGAAGAATTTAGACTCAATAGATAGTCATTACATAATCATTCAAATTCTGGGGGTTGGAGAAGCCACAAGGAAGACTCTGCCCCTGTACAACATCATTTCTTAAGTGTAGTGCATAAGTAGATGGATTTTTTCTCAGCAAACTTCTCAGTGCTGTCAACTTACTCTGTCTGCTTATGGAGCACAGAACTAATGGTGGGGAGAAAGGGGGGAGAGGAGGCAGAGTGGTTCCTTCATGTGAATTAAAGGACTTCTGTGGCTGCTTGGCAGTCCCAACAAAAACAAATCTGTAGCTCTACTTTTTATTTTCTTGTGCATTATAATTTCTGTAGGGTCATTAAGTATAATTCTTTCAGCTTCATTAGTGTACTCTTAAACATCTTTGAGAAAGATGGTATCATACGAAACATCCATTAGAAATGTACGTCCAAACCTCTCAGCCAACCAAGCATTTAAAATCTGCAGAGTTAACTGCAATCATTTTGTTCCAGCTGAAGAGAACTATAGTGTAGGTTTGTCTCCGAAGTGTCATATTTTGGAGATGATGTAAACTAAGAAAACAAGGTGTAAAAGAAATTCTATATGCAGTTCTGACAGTGTGTCTGATACTTCCCCATCCCATCGGCGAGCTCGGCTCTGCACACACAGGTTGTGGTTGGCTTCACAGTCAGAGTTTCAGGGTATGGGAGCAAGATGAAAGGCGGGAGGCAGATAACAGAGAGGTTATTTTTATGTACAAACAGGAAGGTGTGGGCATTCCAAATCCACAATGTTTAATGTGAGCTTAAGTAAGAAGACAGTGGAAACACAGGTCAATAGCCTTGGCAAGAATTCTTAGCAGAAAAACTCAGAAAACCACCATACTGGCATTTTAACTAGATGTAGTCAGACATCTGAATTCCATCTGTCTAGAATGATATGAAACTAATTCCCATTCCCCGAGTGAAATTGTGTTTATGATGTAATGTGGGATTTGTGCAGTCACTTTGACACATAAACCCTTCTGTGTGTATTTAAGTAGAAGCTATATGGCATGCATTTCAGGAAAGGCATTCCCACTAATGTGTTACTTAATTCAAAACAGTCTTGATCACAACTGCGATAACAACTGCAGTAGCTGTACAGAAGTAGGTCACTTGTCTTTTACCCCATGGCATTCTGACATAAGTTAAGGATACAATGGTTTGCTTGCCCTAGATTGAAATCAATGCAGCACTTGAAGGGATGGCCTTGTATTGTCAGTCACAGGAAGCCTAAACGTGTTGAAGATGGAAACATTAAAAATGATAGAAAGAGGTTCTAAAGTAGAGAGATCAAAAAAAAAAATTATGAAGCTGTCTGCACATCCTGTCTCCTGCAGGTGGAACCAGGTTGGGTCAGAGGTCTAACATGTGCAAGAAGGAAAGCTTTTACTAGTTCTGTGCCATTGGTATGACTCCCTCGGTTTATTTCAGGTTCCTACCATGCTATTACAAATGACTTGTTCTCCCAAAGTTCTGCACAAGGATTTGACTCGCAGTTTGTCTATAGTGTAGTTAGAGACTGTGATTGACTAGCAGTTTGCCTGTAGCGTGGATAGCGACTATGATTGACTAGCAGTTTGCCTGTAGCGTGGATAGGACTGTGAGCATGGCAGTTCAGGGAGGTGGCAAGTATGAGCTCATTAGATGATGGCTACATTGAGAAAGGGCATACTATCAAGCTCATGGGTGGGGAGACTATCATATCCTCTAGAAAGTCCAGTGAAGGCTTCCTGGAGGGATGACAGGGACATAGGATTAGAGGTTGGGTTGGATTTGTAGCTCAAGAGCAAATACATGAGGAGAAGGTGAACACTTCTGTTTGGCAGGGGATGAGTCTGGCTCATCAACCCTGGGCATAGCTGCCCTGAACCATCTCAGCAGCTCATGCCTGGGCAGAATCTTCAGGGTTTGTGGTTAAGAGCATTTGTGGTTTTTAAAAGTTTCCCAGATGATGCTGGTTCAGAGCACATTCAGGACCACTGGCAGCTGTAAGTGCAGTCCATTACGAGACTGTGAAATGTAGCTAGAAAGGGTGTCAGGACAGGACCCCAGAGGCTTTCCTGTGTCAAGCCAGGGACTTTCTCCTGTGCAGTATGAGGAAACTCCGGAGACCTGCTGCTGCCTGATTGGTTTCCATTGTTTTCAGGGACGGCATGGCTGCACATGTTTAGGGTCCTCCCAGGGCAACAGAAACAGTGGGGCACAGAGTGTGGGTCTAGGTGTACCTCACAGCTTTGGTTGGTCACTGAGAGTTATTTATTATCTTCCCTCAGGCCGGGACATGCTAATCTCTGATTTGGTTTTCTAAGCAGAATGATAGCAGCTTTTCTAATGATTCCTCTCTGTTCAGGGGAGTTGGCTGTATCTTCGTTGAGATGATCCAAGGAGTCGCTGCATTTCCAGGAATGAAAGACATTCAGGATCAACTTGAACGGATATTTCTGGTAAGTTCTGCACAAAGTGCTTCTCAGAAAAACTTGTTTCTAATTAGTTACTCGGTAACTTAATGAACTACTGGAAATATTTTAAAACATGTTTGTCCATTGTCAAATGAGTTCTATCTTTTTTTGTTTTTTGTCTTTGTTTTTGTTTTGCCTTTAAGAAGCAGGGAATTCATTAACTAGTGTCCTTTTAAATCATCATATGTGAATAAAATGATAAAATAATAAGAATGAGTAAGATACAGGACATCCTATAGAATAGTGGGCTATACATGAACATGCAAGAGTAGTGACTCCGTCTTCCAAGATGTAGGTAACCTATGAACCACCCTCCACATGGGTTCTGTGGGCTTTGATTGCTAACTGTCTTCAGTAGCATCGAATGTGGAGAATGGTAGGCAAAGAGGGCATGGAGACCTTCCAGAGGAGACAACTAGGCAAAACTTGCCTCAGCCAAGTCTTTAAGATGGCTCTCCTCTATGAGAAGTCACATGGTGGCATGGTCCCCTGAGGTGATCTGAGGAAAATGTGCCTCACCTTGATAGTCTTCTTCCGCAAACCGTAAGTCTATTCTAACTATGAAATAAGAACTATGTGGAATCAAAATGCAAGACATTTTACAGGACCCTTGACTCATACTCTTCAAAACTTGCTGGTTTCATCAAAAACAAGGGACATCTGAAAGACTATCGTAATCCAGAGTGGAAGCTAGGGGAATGTGCCAGCTCAGAGTCATGTGGCCTCAGGGGCAGACCCCAGGAGCATCAAAACACAATAGAGAAAAATTAGTGAGGTCCACATGAAGTGTGGGATTTAGCCAATGTCGTGTTCCAATGTGTGTTTTTAGTTGTGGCAAATGTTCTGGGTAAAGATTTAACATGAGAGACTGAGGGACGGCTGTAAGAAACTCTCTGATATTGTTACAACCTTCGATTGCTCATGTAGCGACTAACTGCTGAGCCATTTCTCCATGAGCCCTTCCACATAGTCTGTGAGTGTTTAAAACAATTGAAGAGATTATTTTAATGAGGTATAGTTTATGTATTGTCTATAGCATGCTAAATCATATCTAAATTTTTAGTCTTCAGATTTGCTTAATACCCAGGTATAATCACTACACCTCTCAGCTACATTCAGAGACTAAGTTCTTCAGTTTCTAGTTAGCTTTTAATGCTGAACTCTATGAAACTATAATTGCATAACATTTTAAAGATCTTAAATTTGTTTTATGCTAAAAGAATTACTTTCTTGTATGTAAAATAATAAGTAAGGTTAAAGGTGTGGGACCTTTAACCTTAGCACTTGGGAGGCAGAATCAGAATGATCAGGATTTCAAGGCCAACTTTGACAATGTAGCAAGTTCAGCTTTCTGAGATCTCACAAAATTAATAAGTTAATAGAGGATAGAACTTTAAAAAAGATTAGTCTTTTTATTTACATTACTTCAGAATGAGTTCAAAATAAACCCAAATAGTCATATAAATGAATCATATGATATAGCAATAGAACTAAGAAAATGATTTTCCCAACAGCAAATTCTTACTGGAAATGTTTGTATAATACAAATAATTTATATCAAGGACCATTTTTTTTATTTCTTTCTGTATGGATATTTAGCTCCCATTTCTTAATTTTATGGCAATGTTTTTCTAATTTTATGGGTATTCAGAGACCTTTGAGCCATAGCAAGGCTTTTAATAAGCAGGAGAAATAAATCACTACAAATTTCCCATGGGATCATTGATGTACCAGCCATGATTTGCTCTTCCTAGAGCGCAGAGATCCATGAATGCAGATAACAGTCATGACTGCAGGAAATCATTGTTTCATTTCCCACAGACACGATGTACACAATGCTCTTTAAGATAAAATATCCTGGGATAGATAGGAGCTGGAAATCATCTTTTCTGGAAGATGGCTGATTTAGAATTTAATGATGATTTATTTTGCCCTAAGAATTAGAAAAAAATATCAAAAGAAGAAGTCTAGTAACTTTGGACATCAAATGTCATAATCTTAAATATTTTATATTCTCCTCTGGATTGTTGATACCTACAAATGCATCTATCTAGCATGTTAAGAAAGCCCCTCTTAGGATGTGTTGGTCATTGGATAAGGACATTGGACAAACTCAATAAAGTGGAATCAATGGGGAAAGAACCCTCTTTTTCTCACTGACCTTTTATATCTGGCCTAAATAGGAATGGCTATTAAATAGGGATTAAGTCTCCTTCAACAGGCATCTACTAGAAACTCCCAGACCCTCTTTTCTAAAGTGGCAGTTGTATTTCTGGCCTCTGGTAAAGCATCACCAAGGAGATAATCAACTTTGAAAGTTGTGAAATATCGGATTATTTGGTTTGTTTTGTGTCTTAATATCAGGATTAAGCCCATTCACTTGTCTGTAAACTGTATGTTAAAAGGTGGTTAATAACCTTGAAGCACAAAATTAATACCTTGTAACTGAAGATAGTCAATATAATTACTTCCCACATACTGAGTCTTTATTAAAAATGTACAAGGCAGCAAAGATCAGCCAGTGAAAGCCTTTCTGTCTTCCTTCCTTTGTGTATCCTCCCTCTTTTGTGGGAGAGAGCAGGTCACATTTTTAACAAGCCCAAATAATTAATTTTCAGCACACCACAACCATGTTAGTGTGCAAGTCGAGCTGGCATCCCTTCCACCTGCAATTTCCCATTAAGTCCTTTTCCATGAATTTATGATGTTCACATGCAAGACACGAAGAAAGGTGGTAGAATTTGTACAGAACATGTAGAGTTGCTGGTGCATATTCACCAAGTTCTTAACCAGCAGCTCTGCTGGCAGAGGGGAGGAACAGTTTGTGTTCAGTCCTTCAGCATTGCCTATTCTAAAATATAACACGATGTGTTCTGTTCACCTCCATTACCTGTAAAACATGAGCAGCAGATAGGTTCATTTAGGTGAGTGACAAAATTCACAACTAATAAGAGGAATTTGTATTCTGAACACATTGTTCTGGCTTGAAGAAAAGAAGCCCCTGTGGTAGAACCCTGGGAATATGTGTCTCTCACTTCAAAACAGCTGAGCAAATGGCAAAGGGTACATGCACAGCTGTCAGAATCCTTGGCAGATGCTTCTGGGTTTATGTGGCTCATGGCCCAGAGTACAGCAGTCGTGACAGGGGGTGGAGTGGGGGATGGTTCTGTTTTACAGGCCTGTTCCTTTTCTCCCCTGTCTGAATGTCAGTAAACCTGACTGTCTCACCTCATCTCTGACTGCTAGGTCTCCTAGCCTTGGATGCTGTGGAATTTCATCTGCTTGTTGTTAACCTATTTTATTTTATTTGATTGCTACATTGGTTAAAATATTCCCCTTCATCAGCATATGTGTCAGTCAGGATTTGTGTGTGTGTGTGTGTGTGTGTGTGTGTGTGTACATGCAAAAGGATGAAAAAGAAAAAAGACCTATTTAACTTTAAAGCTAAGCTTCAAGATGCTTCCTTAAGAGCCCTTGCTTCTATTTTAACAGACTGTAGAGAAACAGCCTGGTTGATGTCTTTTTGTTCTTGTTGTGGCTATTTCCATGGTTATAAGAATGGAAACTTAATCCCATGGCTGCATAATGGGCTAGGGAAGCCATACAGTATGTACAGGAAAGCTGTTACTGTGTTTTCAGCCAGTGACTGTAGCAGCTATAGAGTCATGGTGGAATTTTGGCATCGGAGATTTGTACCATCATTGCCATGATTCTGTGTAACCTAGGTCATTTCCTTGGATTGCTTCAGCTCTTCCCCTTCTAAGTACAGTGTGGTGTAAAAGAATCATGCTATGGTGACATCTGTGGAGACTATGACCACAGCTATCAGGATGGATAAGCACATGAACTTTTAGAAATGTAGTTCCTGGTGCTTGCTGAGTACCTGACCGGCAGATGGAAGACTCAGGAACCATACTGAATCTTATATTAAAGTACTGAAAGATTGTTCCTTGAGTTCCTTCTCTATGTGGTGTTTTCCGTATCTGCAAAAGCAGGGATGGACTGAATGAGTTCAGTTCTGTCGTATAATTGCTACATTTTTTTTATTGAATTGTGTGTGTGTGTGTGTGTGTGTGTGTGTGTGTGTGTGTATTCAGAGTGTATATGTGGAGGTCAGAGGACAACTTTGTGGAGTCAGTTCTTTCTTTCTGCCATAAATGATCATGAGGGCTGGAGTTAAGTGCATTTACCTCTCGTTGACCAAAAATTTTAATTCTAAAAATGTATGTTATTGCAAGATTAGGCCTCAGGCAGGTGGATGCTTAAAGAAGACATTTCTGGGGGTGTGACATGTGGAGAAACTCAGGAGACAATGGCTTAGCTCTTGGGTAGGGACAGCTGAGTGGACACAATGTGTGTTCACAGCAGGCTCTTCAGGACTGATGATGGGTAAAATCTTATTCCCACGAGAGAAGACAATAAGAAAATAAGGAGATGCTCTACTTCAGCTGCTGCTGTGGGAGAGTCTGGCTTCCTTACCATGTTCAGGTGCTATCTATGGAAGTGGTACTTGCTGATTGAAGGGAGTAGGCAGAAGGCATAAAGATACTGGGGATGTGAGCATTTCAGGCAGAAGGAATAGCTGATGACAACTATATTATAATGAAATTTCTCAAGGCCAGGTCTGTTAAATGAAGGGCAGTCTTCTTCATAATTAAAGTGAGTTCTGACACTTTGGCCTCCCTTACATCAAGCATCTTCTCACTTGGGAAGTGTTTGCTTTTGTGAATTACATAGTGTAGAGTATATATGCATAGTATATATTTGATAGTACAGGTTACTATCAAATACTAAAGTGAATCAGCAAAGAGAATTTGCAGAGCACCTGGGTGAGTGTCTTAAGCTGGAATTATGTGAAAGTTGGAGATATGGGCTTCTGAATCAGTTCACCATGAGGGGTGGCATGGATAGAAGAAAATGAGAAATGTTTCTGTTGGGAAGAGCAGATGTTGGTTCAGAGGAGACAGAAGAATGCCCAGACCACA